TTAAAGATTTTATTTATTTGACAGAGAGAGACAGCGGGAGAGGGAACACAAGCAGGGGGAGCGGGAGAGGGAGACTGCTTCTCCCCCTGCTTGTGTTCCCTCTCCCTCTCCCGCTCCCCCTGCTTCGGTATTTCAGTTGAAATACCCAATGTGGGGCTTCATCCCAGGATCCGGGGATCATGACCTGAGCTGAAGGCTTAGCCATGGAGCCACCCAGGTGCCCCTATTACTCCCTCTTCCTGGGTGCCTGGAAAACACCCCAAAATGATCGCAGTGTTTTTTCCTGCTGCATTTGGATGCAGCCTCAGAAGCCTTCTTAACACAGTTCCCCAGGCAGCCACTATCTCTAGATCAGAAGTAGCACTCATTAGGCTACTCTTCATTGTCAAATGTTGCTAGCATGTTTTTAAAGCTGTTTATGTGGGACTGGGTGGAAAGTGAGAAGACATTGAGTTGGTTCTGACTGTCAGCTTAAAGACATAAATTCACAGAATGACCTCTAAGTTGTGTTAGATTTGAATGTTACTTTCTGCAGATATGGATCTTTTCTGTCATTTTATTGTTTCAGGATGTTGAAGTCAAATGGATTGAATACCAGAATATGGTGAACTACCTCATTCAGTGGATTAGACACCATGTGACCACAATGTCTGAGAGAACATTTCCTAATAATCCTGTGGAATTAAAGGTCTGTGTCACTGTAGAAGTTATGAAGGATTGAGTTGATTATTAAACTTTTTAAAAAAAATACTTTTATTTTACTTTATTTTATTTTATTATTTTTTTTTTTTTTTAGAGAGAGAGAGAGCATGTGAGTGGGAAGGGGCAGAGGGAGAGAGAGAGAATCTTAAACAGACTCTGTGCTAAGCATGGAGTTGGACGCGGGGCTTGATTCCATGGCCCTGAGATCATGACCTGAGCCGAAATCAGGAGTCAGATGCTTAACCAACTAAGCCACCCAGGCGCCCTGATTATTAAACTTCTAAATAATGTTATAATAATTCCAGAAGTTCAAGAAAAATTGCCCTTGGCAAGCCACTAGTAAATAAGCAATTTTTAAATTTATTCATCTCCTATTCAGAGAAAATGGAGGTAAATGTTAATAATTAAAACATAATAGCAGCAACATCTTAGAGATTTATAGTCCCTTAGTTTTGAATTGTTGAGAGTGATAAGATATAATTTGAGAGACCCTGGGACTGACATTGCGGAAGTGTTTTTGGTGCATGGGGAATGCCTGGAGCCTACCAGATAGATGGCTGAGGCAGGGGGGTCTCTGGGAAGCTGGGACAAGTTTAACAGTGGTTGGGAACCTGTGGTGGAACCCTTCGGGGGCGCCTGGGTGGCTCAGTTGGTTAAGCGACTGCCTTCGGCTCAGGTCATGATCCTGGAGTCCCGGGATCGAGTCCCGCATCGGGCTC